TTCAGAAAAAGAAGCTGCCTTATAACTTTTCAAAGTCTTTCACATTAAAGGGTATTCATGCAAGTACTTTAATTTATATAATAGAACATTTTGAAAAAGACACATAAGCTGGAATTAACCTCAAGTCATACTGGTTTTGAATTTTTTTGACCTCTGAAAGAATCATTTAAAAAGAGGGAAATTTAATTTAGATTTAGTATATTTTCCTGTGAGTTATAAACTTAACAATGACATATTTTTTATGTCATTATAAATGGACACAGAACAACTGGCCTGCAGTGAATTGACCTAGAACCAGAGAAAATAAGTCTTTATAAAGGCTCCCTAAATAAAATAATGCAAATTATAGTATTGAAAGTATAGTTATATACCTAATAAATGAATTTTTTTAAAAAACTCTCCTAATACATACAAATGGTATTTTTGGTTTGTTACAGAATTTCCAGTGAGGCATTAGAAGGGACTCTCTGTATCTCAACTTTAGGAAAGCTGATGTGCTTTGGCAAAATATTAGATCGCTTATGAACTAGTTACAGTAATAACAAAGATAATGATGTCAAAATGCATATGAAGATTTTAAATAAACTTGTTTCATAAAATGTGAAAGTGGAAAAAACAGTACTTCTATTTTTATTTATTTTTTTATATCCTGCATACACAATGTAAAGACAGTATTTCTAAATTAATATAAGAGGCTATTTGATACACCATCTATCTGGCAGACTGCTGGTTTCTGACCCGATATCAATTCTCTCTTTCCTTAAGGAATTTCGATTTTATTTGGAACAACAATGTGTTCGGCTGTCTGCATTTCTCTGCCTCCCTGAGATGTGGTCACATGCCTAAGTTCTGGTCATAAGATGTAAGCAGAAGTGTTGTGTAGGCCTCCAGGAAAGCTCTGTAAATTAAGGGGCTTCCCTGCAGTTGTTTATGCAGAAAATTCTCATCATCTCTGGTCCCATGATAACGATGTCAACACTGTATATTGAGCACAGAGCTCTCTCTTGAGACCAAAAGTTAGATATTACATTCAACTATCTAGAATATTGCTACTTGGATGCACCTCAAATTCAGCATGCCTAAAACTGAACTTATTTTCCTTATTCTTCTGCATTTTCTACACATTGAATGGCATAATTAGCCACTCCAGTCCACCAAGCCAGAAACTTGGGAGTCATCCTACACATCCCCCTCTCCCTTACTATCAATATCTTATCAGTCCTTAAGACCTCCTCTGTCTCTCTGGGCAATACTGGTACTCCTGTCTTACTTCAGGACATCGCTCTGACTATACCGTCTAGCAGACCAGTCTCCAGTTTGGTTTCACTGCTTCCTGACTCAGTCCTAGCAGCCCATCCTCCACACTTCTGCCAAGGTGATCTCAGTAGTTTAAATTTTAAAGTCTTGCTTAAAACCTTCCAGTGACTCTTGTTAGCTAGATAAAGCCCAGGCTCCTTTGAATGGCACAAGAGGTCTTCTAAAATATCATCCCACCTCTCTCTCCAACATTATTCCACCACTTTGTCTACCTGACAAACTCCTGCTCATCTTTCAGGCCCTACCTCAAGTCTTATCTTTTATAAACCCTCCTCTGACCACTTCAGTCAAAAATGATCACTTTCTCTTTTGTGCCACCAAAGTACCTTGTGGCTATAGTATGTATTATATCACTTTTCACTCTGCAAAGCAATTTTTGATCTGTTTCCCTGTCTTTAATTGTGTCTATTTATCTGTATAGACCTAGGAACCAAAAAAATGTCTGCTGGAATGTTTCCTTCCTTCCACCCATTTATCACTTCACGAATGAACTTTTGGAACATAATTTGTTTTTAAATTGAAAAGGAAAATTCAAATTCTGCAATTCTAGTTTAAACAATACCCTTTGTTCAGTTATGAGTCTTGGTAGTAGAAACAGCTTGGAACGTAGAGTCAGAATACCTGGGTTCTCCCCTTTGCTGGGCATTCTTGCACAAATTACTTAACCTTCCTGAATTTTAGTTTCCTTAGCTGTAAAATAGGGGTCGAAATCCCAAACCTCTATAAGATTAGTGATAAACGTTTAAAAAGTGCTGAAAGCTAAATCTAAGTGCACAGGAGTCACTACTGCTGTAGAAAAATATTTGGTAAAGCAATGTACAAATGTTACTAACAATAATAGTACTTATGGGGCATTTTGTTAAATATTTTATATATATTATTTCATTTAATCTTCATAAAATCTCACTACGTATTCAGTATTATTTTCATATTCAAATACTTATGAAACACTTATTATGTGCCCAGCACTGTGACCATTTTGTAAAAAGGTATAAGGAGGCTGGGGAAGGTTAAATAACTCACTAAAGGTCACATGGCTTGTAATTGGCAGAGTTGGAATTTGAACCCAGACCATTAACTAGAGGCCACATCAGGGGAGGATCCAGGTTTTGTAAAAGGGCCTCAAGCTTATACAAGTTTAGGAGCTATAAGAATACAAAAATATCTTACTTTCAAAAATTTTCAAAAACATATGACCATGTGCACATATTGCTACAGTCTCTCAGAGTTCTTTGGAAGGTGCTTCTGTAAGTGAGGAGCTTGAGCCAATGAGGGGCCCCAAAGATTCATTAGCTTCAAGGTAAATCCCCTTCTGGGTGATACTCTTAAACACAATGCTTTATTTCCTTCCAAGTTAGTTACGTGAGTAAAAATAATGATTGTATGAGTATATTCCTTTGAATTGAATTACAGGAATAATATTGTGTAGCTCACGGGAAAAAATGATAAACAAACATCAAGACCTTGAAAATTAGAAAAAAACTGCCTGGTATTATGGAAATTGGTGGAGTTTTATGGATGAATCTTGAATTTGTTGAAGAGCTCCATATCTACTGAACAACCAAAATTAATTGTACACCCTCCATGAAATTTTCTCTGACACCAAAGCCCCTTCATTGGGTGATTTTCCCCCCATTCCTATATCCTCTATTATAGCGATTATTTTATTGTGTCATAGAAAATTTTCTTTACATTTCTAGCTTCCCAAATTGTACATGGCTTATAAGCTGGGATCAGGTCAGATCTTTTCATCTTTTTAACACCCCCTCCCAGAAGTGACACAGTGAGTATTCAACAAATATTTATTGAATAAGTAAATTATATTAATTCAGTTATTTAAAATCCTGATCTTTAAAAAATATATTAAATTGAGAGCCAATACTGGTATAAATGAAAAATATAAAAAATGATAAAAATCTAACCATGAATATTTGAAAAATATCATTAATGTCATTATCAGTAACATTATAACACTATCTTAGGTAGAGGGAAATAGACATTTAATCAATTTACCCTCTGTTATGGGTTGAATAGCGTCCCCCCCAAATTCGTGTCCTTCCTGAAACCTCAGAAAGTGACCTTAAGGTGAAGCACAGTGGTGTGAACCTATAGTCCGAGCTACTCGGGAGGCTGAGGCAGGAGGACTGCTTGAGGCCAGAAGTTGGAGTTTGCAGTGAGCTATAATCTTGCCCGAGAATAGCCATGGGCACTCCAGCCTGGGCAACATAGTGAGACTTCATTTTTTTTTTTTTTTTTTTGAAAAAGAAAGTGACCTTAGTTGGAATTAGGGTTGTTGCAGATATAATTAGTTGAGGTTATATTAGAATAGGGCCAGCCCTTAATTCAATCTGACTGGTGTCCTGATAAAAAGAGAAAAGATACAGACTGGTGAGGGGAGAAAGCCTTGTGGCCAACAGAGGCAGAGAGATCAAAGTGCAGCAGCTGCAAGTCAAAGAATGCCAAGGATAGTTGGCAACTACTAGAAGCTAGGAAGAGGCAAGGAAAGATTCCCCCCTACAGGTTTCAGAGGGATCATGGCGCTGCCAACACCTTGATTTAGGACTGCTAGCCTACAGAACTATAAGACAATCCTACCAAATGTTCCTGTTCTCCCTTTCCTCTTATTTTCTTTACTACTCTTATCCCTATATGAAGTGATCTGACTTTTTTCTCATTTATTGGCAGTCTTGCCACAGGCTATAAGATCCTTGAAAGTTGGGCTCTTGTTCCTCCTTGTATCCTCAGCACTTGACAGAATTCCTGGAACAGGACAGGCCCTCAGGACCTATTTGTGAATGAATGAGTAAATAAACTATGCTAACTATAAACTAAAGGCGATGCATGAAGGAAATGAATGGCAAAGAATGAAGATAATTTCACAAACCATAACAATTATTTTCCATTTGATTAATGAGAAAGAAAACAGGATTGAAGATAAAAGGATTAAACTTTAACAAACACACCAGAATTAAACACTTTCAAGTGAATTTTACCCCTTTCAAAATAGTCACCTCGAGCAGCCAGAGACTTATTCTAACCATCATGCCATTGCTTAAAACTTTTTTTGGAATTTCTCATTTGGAACTACCCAGTTCTAAGGGTGGATTTGATTTTGAGAAACAACCAAAAGGAATTTGGAGCTAAGCCTAGTAAATAAAGCCGGTGATAAAGCTGGGTAATAATACTTTAAAATGAGGTGTGCCTATTAAAGAAGAGAGAAACTGATTTTCTAGAGATAAAGCGGTTTTCCAGAATTGGAAGGTTCTCTCAGGCAAGATACTGAAGGTGGTAAAATAATGAGCTACATGAAAAATTTATGGTGATGGCAAATGTAAAAGTTCTTTTAAAAAATATCCTTTGCATCTTATATTATTCCCAAACTCCAAGAAAACGACGTTGCTAAGCAATGGCGCGTTCACAACAGTGTATGCCGACGTGGGGTAAAGCTAAAAATCAGAAGAGAACTAAGGAACTCTCCAGCCCGCTATACCAACCATAACGAAATCATCCTTCCGATGGGCCTGGAAGGTCTGGTCAAACCCGAACGCCTGCGCCTTGATTCTGCCCAGCATGGACCTGGGACAGAGGAGGAAAACAAGTTAGCTTGGGGCTGGCACCCTCTCACAGGGCACGATCAGCCCAACCCACCCACGGAGTCCGCCCTGTCCCGGTGTCACAGCGACTTCAGGGTTCTCTCAGGACCGGGCCGACCCGGCTCGGGCGCCCTAGACGCCCGGCCCGCGTCTCCACAGCCGCGAAGGCCGAGGAGCTCTTCTCTCCCTGCCCCTCGGCCCCTCACCACTGGCGGAGCCGGCTGGTGGTCTCCGGAACGCTCAGAGACTGGAATGTTTTCTGAGGCAGGAACCTGAAGTAGTAGCCGCCGGAGGCCCGGGGCTCGCCCGCCGCCATCGTGCCCCTGGCTTCTCGGAGCTGACGCCGTTTCCATGGAGACGCGGCGGCCGTCGGGTCTGCGCGACGCTGCGGGGGCGGGGCCTCGCGCGCACCCGGACCGAGGGGTCCGCGCCTTGCCGCAGGGCGGGCCCGGGAGGGGAAGAGTTGCTTGTGCCACCGCCCTCCCCGGTGCCAGCCACGCCAGTCCCCAACCCCCGGCTTGGCAGTTACGGAAACTAGGGGTCGAGGATGGAGAACGATTGCCAGTTGATACTTGTTGATGTTAACTCAATAATGATTACTCAGCATGGGTCCTAGTCTCAGAGCTGTCATGTCAGATTTATAGTTATCTAAGTCTGATGACTCAAACGTTTCTGAAGAAAAGATTATTCTGAATTAATTAGTTTTATCTATTTTGGAAGACAAATGTCTATGGGACTATTCTGTTTTATCATCTGGCTTTTTTTTTTTTTTTTCCTGTAAAAGTCACATCTGATAGATAAAAAGTTTTCCATACACACTATGCTACATAATACGCTGTTTAATGAAAAACACATATTTCTTATTTTCTATTGAAAATTGTCTTTGTCTAATAGCAGTGCACCTGGCCTTCAGAATAGGGGGATAGTTCTTTTCCACCTCTTTGCTAACTTCCTTTCCTTTTCCCCCAGTCCTTAAGAACTGATCCTGATTATTTCTTAGCTCCAGCAGGAAAGAGAAAGGGAAGGAAGAAAAAAGAAACACACGCACACAGATGTGAGAGAGAGAGAGAGAGAGGAGAGGGAGAGAGAAAGATTGATTCTTTTTAATTGTTGTTTTATATTCCATTACCATACCACAGTTTATCCTTTTGGGTTGTTTCCAGTTTGAGGCTATTAGGAAAGCCGTTATGTATACTCCTGTGTATATCTTTTGATGTACTTATGCACCAATTCTGATGGATATATCAAAGATTGGAATTACTTGGTTATATGATATGTCTAGTTTTACTAGATACTGCCAAAAAATTTTCCAGTATAGATTAATTTACACCCCAACCAGCAATACATGAGATTTCCAGTTGTTCAACCTTCTTGTCAACACATAATATTGTCAGTCTTTTAAAATTTTAGCCATTCTGGGGAGGTTGTATTAATTTTCCCTTGTGATTTTTAATTTGCATGTCTTTGATAGTTAATGTTGAGCAACTTTTAAACATACTTCTGGACCATTTGGATATATTCTTTAGTGAAGTGTCTATTCAAGTGTTTTGTCCATTAGGAGGAAAGGTTGTCAGTCTCTTTCTTATTAATTAATAGGAAGTTTTTAAATAGTCTGGATAGGAGTCCATTGCCAGATATTTTTTTTTTTTTGAGACAGAGTCTCACTCTTTTGCCTGGGCTAGAGTGAGTGCCGTGGCATCAGCCTAGCTCACAGCAACCTCAAACTCCTGGGCTCAAGTGATGCTTCTGCCTCAGCCTGGGACTACAGGCATGCGCCACCATGCCCGGCTAATTTTTTTTCTATATATTTTTAGTTGGCCGATTAATTTCTTTCTAATTTTTAGTTGAGGCGGGGTCACGCTCTTGCTCAGGCTGGTTTCGAACTCCTGATCTCAAACAATCCGCCCGCCTTGGCCTCCCAGAGTGCTAGGATTACAGGCGTGAGCCACCGCGCCCGGCCCCATTGCCAGATATATTTATTGCAAACATTTTCTTTGTCTGTAGCCTGCTTATAGCTTTCATGCTTAGTAATTCTTAATTTTAATTAAGTCCAATTTATTAATTTCCTCTGACTCAGTTTGATTTTTGCATAAACAAAGTTATGAAGATAGTCTCATATTTATGTTCATAATCCATCTCAAAATAACTTTTTTAAGCTCAAGTTTAATTTTTTCCCTATGGCTTTCCAATTGACCCAGCCCTATATGTTGATAAGACCATCTACAGTGAATTGCAGTGGCACTTTTTTTTTTTTTTAAATAAATCAAGTGACTGTTTCTCTGCTCTCTGTTCTGTTCCATTTGCCTATTGGACTGTCCTTGCACCAATGCCACATTGTCTTGATTAGTGTAGCTTTATATAAAGACCTAATATCTGATGGTATGAGTTGTCCAGCCTTATTATTCTTTTTCTTTAAAATTACATAGGCTATTGCCTTTGCATTTCCATATAAATTTTAAATTGAGTTTGTCATTTTCTTTTCTTTTTTTTTTTTTTTTTTTGAGACAGTCTTCCTCTGTCGCCCCAGACTAAAGTGCCATGGTGTCAGCCTAGCTCACAGAAACCTCCAACTCCTGGGCTCAAGTGACCCTCCTGCCTCACTCAGCCTCCTGAGTAGCTGGGACTACAGGTGCCCACCACCATGCCTGGCTAATTTTTCTATTTTTGTAGAGACGAGGTCTCACTCTTGCTTAGGCTGGTCTTGAACTCCTGAGCTCAAGCGATCCTCCCACCTCAGCCTCCCCTCTGTACCTCAGTTTTTCCATTCTCTATTGACCTGAGTTTGAATTCGCTAATCCTGTTTTCTGCTCAAATCTCAATTTCACGTATGTTATTTTTAAGTTCTAGAAATGCTCATCTTAATCTTGTATAATAGATTCTACTCTATTTAAGTTTTCAATTTTTTCACTCATTTAGTGTATGTTTTTCTTTCTTTAACACAGTAATCAGATTTATTTTTAAATCTTTGAGTGCTTTACAGTCAGGATTATTTGGGGGTTGGCTTCTTTTGATTATTTTATCTCTTGTTTATAAATTGTGTTTCTCTTCCTTCTCATGTGTTTAACAACTTTTTAATGTAAGATATTGCATACTTAAAAAGTATAAAAGATTCAGGAGATACTATTTTCTACCAGAAAGTATTCAATATATGCTCTGTTAAGTAGATAGAGTACATGCTAATAACTTTAATCAGGGATTCAGCAGGGTCAGGGCTGGGCTGTAGTTTTAGTATGACTGAAGTGCAGTTTGTCTCTTTTGTTTCTATAACCTGGGCATCACCCTCCACCCCCAGATTTTGACTGAGAACCTAACAGATGTTTATCTTCTCAGCCCCAAAAGATGAGAAGATTCAGTTCTGCCTTTCAGAGCCGTTGAGCTTATTCTTTAGCTTCCAATGCTCTTTAGCACTGAAATCTAGCAAATGTCTTCAGGGGAAGACGGCATATGTATTTGAGGCAGGCCCTATCTTTCTAGTGGGACTGTGTCTTCTAAGTACCATGAAATTATGGAAGATTTCACCCTGCGTTTTAGAAGCCTTTGGCTGGGCAACTCAGCATGCTATGCATGGCCCCCAAACTCAGCAAATGTTCTTTGAAAACATGACCACATTTGGGGCCCCACAAATTTCCTTGTATGACCACCAGAAGTCATTTAATCTTCAGTTTGCACATCCATCAGTAAATGAGCCTATGGAAAGAAAGCTAATTTTGGAAGGATTTCCTGAGGGAGCTATTAAAATGTAGATTCCTCGATTCTACCATCAGAGACTGAGATTAAGTAGGTCTTGGATGGTGCCTAGGAATTTATATTTTTAACATGCTTTTTGCATGAGTTCGATGCAAGTTTTCTAGATTATTCAATGAGCAAAACAGTTCCACACTTTCTTTAAAACTTGTTAAAACTCATCTCATGAAGGAATTTATTCTAATGCTTCTATCTGAATTCATTTAGATCTTGCTAGATGATCAAATATTTGATCATATTTATTTTGGACCTTTATCTTTCTGATGTTTTGTGAACATCTTTCCAACTAGATTATATGCTGTTTAACAGGGGGAAATTTGCTTACTACTTTATAAAAGCATTTTCCATAGCATATAGTATTCTAGTTAATTTTTTCTTGATTTTTCCAGTTTTATTGAAGTATAATTGACATACTGTGCATATTTAAAGTAGACACTATGATGAGGTTTGGCATGTGTGATTTTTATGTTTTAAAAAAATCCAAAAATAAAAATGTAAATATAATTATTTTCATTTTGGGTTTAAGATGCTAATTCAAGTTTAGAAAGTTTTTTGCTTATTTTTTGCATTACTCAAAAATAAATAATTTTTATTGTGTTGATAAAATTATCATCATTTTTCAACCTTATAATCAGTGATTATACTTTAAGTATATAGTTTTGAGTTCAATATTTACTAGGAATTGATGGTTTTCTAGTTGTTGGTTCTCACTCAAATATGCATGACTGTTATATGTTCTATATAACCATCATTAATTCAATTATGTGGTGTTTTTTCTTTTCTAGTACCTCCCAATTATCTTTACATTTTTTTAAAGTACTGCATAAACAACACATATTTAATACAGAAAATAAGCAAAAGAATGAAAATTACCTACCATCCCAGAGATATAACTTTATAAAGTATAGCATTTTATTAGGTATGTATTCTTTCAGACTTTTTTTGTTGCTTAGCCAGCACTCATTCTTTTATTTTTCCACCTTATTAGAACCTCTGCTTTATTCAAGTATTTACTTTCTCATACAGCCATGTACCTTTGGCACATAAGGTAAAAATTCACTTCATCTGTGACCAAATGAGCAAAATAAAGGTGATGTACTTTCTGATAAAATTAAATCTATTCCGATTAAAGAAACTTCTTTATTTTTAAATTATGTTCTCTTTTTTGTAATTAAAATATACTCAAACTTTTATGAAATTGTGATAATTAAATAAAAAATTATTCTTGTTTGGCAAAAAGTTTGCAATCTTCTGAGCATAGGGTATCTATAGGAGGGCGTTGCTACTCAAAATGTGGTCTATGGACTAGCAGCATTGACATCATTTGGGAGCTTGTAAAAATGCAGAATCTCTGGCCTGATCTCAGATCTCATGAATCAAAATCTGTACTTTAACAAGACTCTTCAGGTGATTCACATACGCATTAAATGAGAAGTGCTGTTTTAGATAACATCCATCCACTGTACACATGAGCTCCTTTTACTCTTATTTCAAACTATTCTACACTTCCATCTACCCAGGTGTTCAATTCAGAAAACTGAGACTTAATCTTTGACCCCACTTTGTCTCACCCCTCCCTTATCTTTCCCCATATCAAATTCGTCACTAAATCTTATAATCTCCTAAAGGTATATGCAGTCTGTCCACTTCTTTCCAAATTCCACTGTTGTCACTTTAGTCCAAGCCACTACCATCTTTTTGTTGGAACAATTTTAAGTAAAACTTCATAATCAGTCTCTCTCTTCCATTCTTGTTCACCTGACATTCATTATGAACTCAGCAGCCAGAATGAGTTTTAAAAAATGATAAATTAACTTATAAAACTACACTGTTCAGAATCCTTCAGTGGGTTTCGATGGGCATGTAAGGTACAATACAAAATCCTTAGGGCCTACCTAGTTTTCCTCATTTCCTTTCTTTTCCCCTGG